ACCTTTGTGCTGAGACAACTCCCTTTCACAGATGAACTTGAGTCGTTGGACATCATATCTGTCTGCCGCTGCAAACAAGTTTTGCAGCCATTGCAGCCGCATTTCATCCTCTAATCCTTTTCTTGTCCTTGCTCCACAACTTGTGACATTTTGTCCTCTTCCATGGCATCATCATCCTCCATGTCAGGGAACGAGTCCGTGTAGACGAAGCTAAGCAAATCCCTAAACATTGTTGCTTCCATGTCTTCGATCCGTATGACACCGGTCTTATCAGTGCCCTCCTTCTCCTTCATGGGGCCAAAGAGCTGCGACATGAAGACCTTGGTTCGGGCCGCGAGCACACACCGGTGTGCAGCCAGCATCTCGCCGCCGACCTCAAATTCCACATCAGCGCCCACCCCAGTTTGAAGGAGATGGTCAAAGTGTTGGCACATGATGTTAGGCGGGAGCACCACCTTGGCGCCAGCGACATCATCCTCGGTGTTGTTGCAGGAGACCAGGATGTCGGTCGCACCGGATGGTGAAACAATCATCCTTCAGATCCGCCGATTGTTCAAGGGCATCTCTTGTGGTGAACCTGTTGCTGCCCCAAGAAGAGCCATCGAAGATGCACGTTTCCTCTTGACCAAGGTAGACTGGATTCTGCTTCTCAACTTGGTCGACGAAGCTGAAAACGAACTTGGCTTCCACGGGCTTCTTGTCGTTAGCACGGAAACAGGAAAGAGAGAGGGAAATGAAGTCGGCGCAGCCAGAGTTTTCGCCGTTAGCACGGAAGTACTCGACCTACCAGCCCCAGCCATGGCCTCCTACCATGAAGACACGAGAGCTGATGCCGTCACCGGTGGGTGTCACCTCTTTGGTGCGCGAGTAGTCGTGGACCACGAGCAGGTGGTACCCGCAGTCCGTGCCGGTGTCGACGCACGCACGACGCGGTGGCGGGGGACAGCTCGCCGTCGGCCAGGATGGAATGGATACACCGGCAAATGAATACATGGCCGACTCGCTGTGCCTTGTCACCGGAAACGGATAGGGTTTAGTTTGCGCGGCCGGCATGTACAAGATGCCGGCCAGGCTACAACTAATGAATAGAGAAATATTAGAGGATAGAAGGGGTAGCTAGGGAATCTGCACACTGCTAGCTACAATCTCTCCGGAGAACAACCAAGTAACAACATGTCTTCATTGTATCAGATCAATTTGCACTTCCACACATTCGGCCGCTGAATTTTTCCGATTCAAGAAATATGCAAATTACTATAATCATGACAATACGAAAGCAACACACGCGGACTACAATCTCTCCAGAGGATCCTACATGTGCATAAGGGTCTCGCTAACTGTAACAAAGGAACATGCATGTGTACCACATACAAAGTGTTACTTGTGGTGCTTTGAAGCAAGCATGGCAAAGAGCTCCTTCAAAACTGAGGGATAGGTCGTACAGACGTGATCCCAACCATTAGATGCCATTACTGTTTGCAAACACGAGGGGGACTGGACTTGGATAAACTTGAAGCATGCCTGCCTCAATCCTTGGCAGTGGTGCTGCTCGGCTAGAGAAAGAGTGGACATCACCGAGCCCACACCTATGTGTTCAGACAACTGCTTTTCACAGATGAACTTGAGCCGTTGGACGTCATATCTGTCTGCCGCTACCAACAAGTCTTGGAGCCATTGCAGCCACTTTTCACTCTCTACGGCCGGCTCCTCTTCTTGTCCTTCTTCCATAGCTTCTGACATTTCACCATCCTCCATGATATCGTCGTCCATGTTAGGGAATGAGTCTGTGTAGATAAAGTTAAGCAAAGCCTTGAACACTGTTGCCTCCATGTCTTGGATATGTATGACACCGGATGTGGAAGTGCTCTCCTTCATTGGGCCAAAGAGTTGCGCCATGAAGACTTTAGATTGGGCAGCAAGCACGCATCGGTGCGCAGCAAACGTCGCACCGTCGACCTCGAACGTCACATCGGCACCCACCTTACTGCCAAGGAGATTGTTAAGGTTGTGGTGTATATCAGGCACGAGCACCAGCTCGGTGCCACTAGCATCATCCTCGGTGTTGTCGCAGACCATGATGTCACACCGGACGGTGAAGCAATCATCCTCCTCTAGATTCATTGATCGTTCAAGGGCATCTATTTTCATAAACCTGGAGTGGCCCCAAGAAGGGGCATCGGAGGGGAAGCTGTATGTTTTCGTCCCACGAATGCACACTTGATTCTGCCACTCAACCTCATCGATGAAACTAAATTCAAACTTGGCTTCCACATGCTTTTCGTCGCAGTTGAGACGGCAAACATAGAGAGAAACAAACTCGGCACAATTCACGTTTTCGCCGTTAGGATAGTACGCGATGGACCAGCGATGGCCTCCTACCCCGAAATCACGAGAGGCGATGCACCGACCAGCGGGTGTCTCCTTCTTGGTTTGAGCGTAACCTTGGACAACAAGCAGGTGGTATCCGCAGGCCGAGGTGGTCTTGACAAAGGTCTTGGTGGAGGGGCACAGCTTGCCGCCGTCCAAGACGGATACGCCGGCAAACGACGACATGGCCGACTCGCCGGAGACAGAGAGGTTTTAGTTTAATTTTCGGCGCCGGCTGGTACCAATGCAAGTCTCACGTTTGTAGATGATGAAGCTTATTGTACGTCTGGCTATATGTATGTGCGTGTATATATTATAAAGATTTTACATGGCCGATTCCAAGACAAGATGATGTAGTACGTCCTACTCCTACACGGACGGATACGCCAAAACTAGTACTATTACAACTCGTATGAATCTACAACGTACGAGGACACAAAGGAAATAAAATCCGAATCGGACGAGGGCGCTGGAGAGCATCTATATTATCTATCTATCTTCACAAGTTTTCCAACTCAGACCATACACTACCGTAGTACGATGGCCAGGTCCAATGACATTACACGTCTTCCTGTAGGATACATCCATGGAGATCGACGACCAAGACACGGACACATCCGTGGAAGTCAATTGCAAGAAACCACCACATTTGCGGCTAGGTTTGCATGAAATCACCAACTCGTTAATCTGTTGCAGAAAACACCAAAAAAACTGTTAAGTCGTTGCAAAAAGCACTGATCGGATGATTTGATCCGTTTAATCACTTTCTTACAAGTGGGGCCAGATTGTAAGGAGTTGACTTAGCAAAAAAAATAACACGCACACCCCTAGATCTAAAAAACAAAAGCAATCAGACCCCCACCCTGCCCCCACACGCATGCGTCGTCCAGCGCCTCGGCGCGCTCGAGAACGTCACCGGCATGTTCCTCGCTGATCGACGCCGGGGCCTCCACCTCCGCGGCCTCATCCTCCTCCTCGGCGATCTCCTCGAGTAGGCTGTTGAGCTCCCGCGCGACGCGCTCCACGGCCTTGCATCTCGGCGAGGATCCCCGTGGACGCCGGCAAGGACGGCCCCTTCTTGCCCCTCCCCCTCGATTCCTCGACGATCTGCTCCTGGATGGCCGTCATCGGCGCCGCCCAATGCGCCTGCTTGGCCGGCACGACGGGGTGTCCGTAGAGGCCCGGTCCTGGCACGGCACGGCGACGATGAGCGCCCACATGGCGAACACGAAGACGGAGCTCATGGTGTAGAGTGCCAGACCGAGCCCGCCCCCGCCATCCCAGCTCTGCCCCGGCTACGACGGGCTGCTGGAGGGTGTCGCCATCACGACCCGCGTGCTATGGAGGTGGTTCGCAGTGCAGCCATGGGCGCCGGTCGCCTCCTCGTCCTCCCCGACGGTGTAGCCCTCTCCGTCGCCGACGAGGGCGACCTCATGCATCTCGGCCTGGGCGCCACCATGCCGGAAGGATGGCAGCAGCGCGGAGTGGACAGGGCGTCGGTGTTCCAGGGGGGGGGGGGATATGATTGCTTTTTTTAGATCTAGGGGTGTGTGTGTTATTTTTTTCTAAGTCAATTCCTTACAATCTGGCCCCACTTGTAAGAAGAGTTGGTGGTTTCTTGCAATTGACTCCATTCATGGAGATCGACGATGATAACGCAACCCGCATCACGACAGCACTGCTATGGCTCCCCACCCCAATGTTGCCGTGCTACTCCTGCATTCCAATCCAACATTCAGATATATAAACATTCAAGGACGATTCAATTATACTGCTCGTGGTCCAAGACTAGAGAGCAAAATCAACCGACGAACATAAACTGAGAGTAACTGTGTTATAAACTGACACTAATACACAAAGACATATACCCATAAGGATATATGCATTACCTTGGCATTTCATACATGTGTTCACACGAGCAAAGCTAGCTCCATGTAATTTGAACAAAAAATATTTTTGTACTAGCATATAAAGAAAAAACATCTTTTCATCGCCGAAATTGACAGCAATCATCTCTAGTGTTTCAAAATACACCAGAATGGGGTCATCCTTTTGGGTACAGGGCACAGCTACAACATTGGACTTTGCAAAATTCCGAGCGCCGACCTTCCACTCAAATTAATGGGAATGGCCGCCCGAGGTGAACACTAAGCACCCAGGAGAAGGTTCCTAGGTACTGTCACCGTAATTGCTATTCCTGGCGGCCTCTCTTATGACTCTTATCTTCCAAATTCCTTCCCCTAAATCGTAGTTCACAAAATGCCTATCAACATTGATCTTCTTGACAACTGCTAGGAAAAGGTTTTCATGATAGGAAAGGCACAGAGCAACAATATATGACACAATTAATGAAGATAAATATACGAGGATAAAAAGACTAGCTACGGAACTTACACACTGCTGCAATGCCAGATCAATTTGCGCTCATATCTGAATTCACAAGCCATCCATTTCCATGAAGGGAAAAAATGCGCATATGTGTTAGATTTTTCTGATTCAGCATACATGCAAATTATATAGATCGCAAAAGCAATACACATGGACTATGATCTCTCTAGCTAGAGGATCCCACATATGCATACGAGTGTCACTTAGTAGATCTAACAAAGGAACATGACATATACAGCAGAGTGTTACTTCCGCTGGTTCGAAGCAAGCTTGGCAACGAGCTCCTTAAAAACCGTCGGATAGGTCGTAAATACATAATCCCAGCCATTGGTATCCATCACGGCTTGCAAGCACGAGGGAGACTGGACTTGGATAAACTTGAAGCACGCCTCCTTCAATGCGCAGCAGTGGTGTTGTTCGGCTAGAGCAAGAGTGGACATCACCGAGGCCACACTTATGTGTTCAGACAACTGCTTTTCACAGATGAACTTGAGCCGTTGGACGTCATACCTGTCTGCCGCTACCAACAAGTCTTGCAACCACTGCAGCCGCATTTCATCCTCTACTGCTTCCTTTTCTTGCTCTTGTTTCACAACTGCTGGCGTTTTGTCCTCTGCTGCTTCCTCTTCTTGTTCTTGCTTCACAACTCCTGACATTTCGTCGACCTCCATGTCGTTGTCATACAACATCTCTGGGAATGAGTCTGTGTAGATGAAGCGAAGCAAGGCCCCGAACACTTTTGCATCCATGTCTTTGATCTGTATGACGCTGGACGTCTCCTTCATGGGGCCAAAGAGCTGCGCCATGAAGACCTTAGATCGGGCTGCAAGGACACATCGGTGTGCGTTGATTATGTCACCGCCGACCTCGAACTTCACATCAGCACCCACCTCGGTTCGGAAGAGAATGTTAAAATCATGGCAAATGTCAGGCAGGAGCGCCTTGCGGCCACCACCTGCATCATCCTTGGTGTTGTTGAGGACCATGATGTCGCACCGGATGGTGAAACAGTTACCCCTAAGATACGGCGATCGTTCGAGGGCGTCTTTTCTGATAAACTTGTCCTGGCCCCAGGAAGAACCGGTGAAGTTGTACGTCTCCGCCTGACGAAAGTAGACCGGATTCTGCCTCTCAACTTGGTCGACGAAATTGAGACCGAACTTGGCTTCCACGGGCTTCTTGTCGCCGTCATCGTCGTCGTCGTCGTGGAGACGGGCAACATAGAGGGAAATGAAGTCGGCGCAGCTCTGGCTTTCACCGTTGGGGTAGTACCTGATGATCCAATGATGGCCTCCTACCATGAAAGGGCGGGATGCGACGCTCTCGCCGGTGGGCGTCTTGTCTTTGACACCCGAGTAGTCTTGGACCACGAGCAGGTGGTACCCGCAGTCCGTGCTGGTTTCGACGGGCGACTCGGTGACTGGGCACAGCCCGCCGTCGTCCAGGACGGATACGCCGGCGAACGACGCCATGGCGAACCTGCG